CCCCAGATATTACGCATTATTATAAGGTTTCCTTGTATTTGTGTAGTTAGTGAGGCAAGCAGGGAGATATAAAGCAAACTATTTATTTTCTACCATCAAGTATCACACCATTAGCAATTAATCTCTGAATTACCTTGGTTTTTCTTCCTGCCTGTAAGGACTTGAGCTCAAAAAACATCAGGAGAATCATTAATGGATTTCCAAGAAAACTTCTATTCTGAAACAAGCCTGTCAATAATAAACATATCTTATATTACTGCAGTCAGGCATATCAGTGATCCTTATTCCTGGCCATGGTGGACCCCTGCAAAGGTCAAAGAGTTGTTGATGTCACCCTGAACCATCAGTCCTCAGGCATCCTGCTCAGACATCTGCTTGTCAGCCTGCCCAGGGGCAGGAGAAGCTCAGCTCCTCTCAGAGGCTGTAGAAGACACATGATTAACAGCTTTTAGTCAGTCCTGGTGAGTGAAATTATAGTCAATGCGGAAAGCTTAACACCCATTCACTAAGACATCTGTCCTCCGGTTGCTGGGTTTCATAATGGTCCATTGTTTGATATAGACTAACTGATGGTTTGCCCTTCAATGTGGCAATAAATACTGAAAGATCCCTCATAGCACTGGTGTTTAAATTCAGACTGACAAATTAGCACCTGAGGGAATAATCCTACAACAGCTCTTATGCAGCCAATGAATTGGCAAGAGCTTCCAATGGGCAGGTCTCTCAAATAACCTTTGCTGAAACACAAGCTCTAAGTAGCGAAGGGCTGGAACATGCCCAAACTCCTGGGTAGAGCCACCCAACTAGGCTCATCAGGTTGACCACCAGCACTGACAGGTCTGAAGAAGAGCTGGAGGAAACCCCAGAGGCCAAGGAGTAATGCAAATTCTGTAATGCAGAACACCGTATGGGACATATCATGGAATGCACATAAAGAGGAAGAGATCCATAATCAGCAAACTTGATGCTTGGGGGGATTCCTGGTGGTGCTTGGAAAGGGCAGTGAACAGCATTTGAACCTTTTTGAGGCGAACACCACTCCTTTGCAAAGAGTGCCTACAGGCATGCAGTTGCATTGTTTTCGCCTTCCTATTCCCCTCACTTTGGGCACTGTCACACACTTCCATGGTGCCACAGACTCTCCTCACTCCCCAGTCCCACATGAGAGATGCTGCTGGTCTTCCTGCTATTTGAAGCCTAGTGCTTCTGCAGTGTGAGGTGGTCTCCTTCATGGGGGAGGACAGTTGAACAGTCCAGACCTAAAAGCTCCATGTAAATGGTTTGTTAGAAGCAAAAGATTTTGGCAAATATCCAGTATTTTATAAGACAAAAGCACACTTCTCAGGACAGTGAAAAAAACCTAGTCCTTTTTCCTTTTTGTTTTTGTGAGGGCTGTGTAGACCATAAAGGAAGAAATCTTTATAATCATTTGGGCTACAAGTGGTTTGGCAGAGTAGCTGGGAAGACGAAGTGTTTTTGAACTTAGCCTTAATGATATGCTGTTTAATGATTGCAGAAGGGAGAAGTGTGGAAAGGAGAATCTGCTGAAGTCAGTGGGAGATCTGCAGTTCACTGAAGCCAAGATTTAATCCCAAGTCTGCTGCTGACAACAATGTCATTGAACATCTAAAAAATATTATGGTATTATGTCATTGTTTAGTTGGGAACAGAGTATGTCTATGCCTCATTAGTAATTCACTATATCACCTAAACAACTTAATCGTCTGAGTTTTTCGTGTGTACTGGCAAAGAGCAGACTCAGATATTTGAAAAGGAGTAACAGTCTTATTATATTTGAACACTTACTGGAGGACACAAAATCTCTGTACTTTCCTAGGGAGTTTTTAATTTCAGCTGCACTGTTTCTGAACCATAACCCTGGCTTAGTAATTTTCAGCTTGCTACATAATGAATTTCACTGTTACAAATTTTCATACTTAAGAGTAGAAAACTGTAAGGAACTGAGAGAGGAAAGCAGTAACAGTTTATAGGCAAGTACTGTAGAATTATCATAATTCTGCAGTAGAGTTACTGTTTTGATAGCCCTTCTTTTAACCACTTACCTGCTTTCCTTAAATACAAATTACATGCATGTAAAAAGCAACCCCATGTATGTTTCATTTCCCTATTTGCTGTCCACATTCTCCTGAAAGAACTGGAAAGGTTCAGGAAGACAAGGCACAAACAGGTGCATTACATCTGACTCGCTCCAAAAGTAAGCAGAAAAAACAAAGGGAAGGCCTATGCCTTTATGATATAAACTTTTACTGACCTACATAATCCTTATTTAGGAGTGCAATGTAAATGGATTTATAACATCACACTTGCTCACTTGCATACAGACCACAGGAAACACTTCAGAGTGGTTTCTCAGTGCAATCTTGTGCACTGCAACTTTTTTTGAGCAGTCCGAACATGCCCATTAAACAAACCTGAACAGGATTCAGAAAGTGCAGGGTTCTAACACTTACCCCCGAGATCAGAGGACCACTGAGCATTCTTGTTCAATTTAAACAAAGTAAATGGCAGTTAGTATGCCCTCCCCTAATAGGCACCCCCACTGAGGACATTGTTTGAGCACCACTATGGACATGTCCCCAGTGCAGCTGGATATGTAAACAAAGACATAATCCGCCTGAAAGAATGCTCAGAGTTTGGCAGAGCTTGCTGTGTTGTTAATGTATTATGCCAAAGCAATAACAAATACATCATTTTAAAGTTTATTTGCAAGCCCTTATTAATCAAGAAATTTTCCAGAAATCACTTCTGAAGGAAGGATCTTCCAGAAAGTCACCATTTGGAGGGGAAGGTTTCCAGATTACTGTTTTTCCTAATCTGTGTCCTGTTCCTCAGAGTAAATCACAATTTAGTCCAAGTTCACTTGAGACAGAAAACACATTGCTGTTATTCAATGTAAGGGAGCCTTCTGGGTTTTTGTTTTGAATTCTCTCCATTTCCTGCAAGACCAATGAGGCTTTGGGGTGCAGTTCTTCACTAGGCTGGAGATAGTCAATGTGCTGTACCTTGGCTTACTAGCAATGAATTCAAAACATTAACAGTTATAAATTCAATATAATCATCCTGAGCATGCACAAGCCAGTATTTCCAAGCTAGGTGCTCCAAGAAAAGAAAGTAGCTTGGCAGTTTTTTCAGTTTTATTGGTTGATAGTCTAAATTTTTAAAGTTTTCCTAGAATTTTTGGTACAGTCATAAAAATGGCAGAACAAGTGACAGAAGGAGATGACATTTTGAAAATCAGATTTCCATGAGCCTTCAGTCTGACAGAATCAATGGTCTGAGGTAAAACTGTGCCCAGAGGTAGATACTGGCAAGATTTGTTATGGATGTGACTAATCAATAACAAATTCTAAATGTATTTGTTTTTTTTTTAAATAAAGCTCTCATAAATTAAGGAAGAAATTGTATTAGATGTATTTAATAAGAAAGAAGACCAAAACAGAACAGGGAAAATGATGGCTGGTTAACTTTATCATTTCATGTCTTCATTATAAACAATATTCACACTGAAGAAGATATATTTTTTTAATAGTCAATGTTAGAGGAATTATTTTTGTGGGCTTTTTTTTTTTCTTTTTTTTTTTATATTTTTATTTCTTTTTCTTTTACAGTTGGACCATATGTTCAGTATATTTTGGTGGCTCCAAATGGAATGATGTGTACATTGTGTATGCATGTGGAATTACGTATTCATTGTGCTGTGTTCAGCTCCACTTAAAAATCATTGTTAGACTTATTTTTGTGGGTAAATTTTGGCCCTTTGCAATGCTGCTACACTGGACACTGCTACAGCCATTTCACCAGGATATTGGATCCTTGGATATCCTGGATAAATTGTTACCATGCATGAACAGAATAGATGTATATACACTGAAAAACTCAAAATGCTCCTTGTTGCATGTAGGGCATTGGCTTGTCCCATCCTGTGATGAATTTACCACGTAGATTTGGTTCAGCTGACCATGTCTGGCAGGTTCCATGCCTCTGCGTGGCTACAAATCTGCACGTCAGCAGCTGCAACATTTCAGTTTATAATTTTGACACCCATTGAACTCAACAGGTCTGTGTTTAAGCAGTTTTTCAACTAAAGGGTAACGGAACCCCCATATCTACCCCTCTCAACCTAATCAGAACTATGAACTGATTAGAAAAAAAAAAAAAAGTGTAATTTCATCTAGCTTGACCCTGATTCCTTTGGTGGAGCAGTTGAGGTCCTGCTAATAGAGCTGCATATTTACTATTTCACTCTGTTTTCTACAGCTCTATGCTATGGAAAAGATTCCTGCACAAAGTGTCATTTACCTTAAAACCTTTAAGACATCAAACACTGCAGTTGCTGACTGTGCTGATATTTTCAGAGGAAAGTTCAAAATTCACTACAGTCCATGCTTTCAGACCCATTGAGGACGGACTCTCAACCTTACAGCTTGTGGTCAGGTGAAATAAAACCAGGGCAAAGCCTTTGATTTCTCAGATGTGATACCTCTGTGTGCAAAGGTGCACATGTGGTCGGGAATGGTGAGCCTCAAGTTGAGTATATAGACAGGCTTGATTTTTATAACTGTGATTTGACTGGCTGCCAGCTGACCTTGGTTCTGGATCACACCCAAAGAGCCAGGTACAAGAATTCTCTTTTGTCTATGGTGTTTTGTCTTAATTTTTGAAATCTATGGATAAAAGATACCGTTAACACTGACCACAAAATATAGATGTCCTTTTGTCACAGTCGTTCTGTGGTGACTATGAGAGGTTTATTATAGAATATTTGGTATGAGATCTCCATTATGTGATAATCAACCAAGGAGATGGCACTGGCTTAACACCAAATAGCAACATGTCTGTCATTTCAGATGCTACTGGTTTTGAGTCCAATGTTCAATTATAATAAGTTGTTATATTTAAACTTACTTATATTATAATTTTAAACTAAAGAGCTTATTATTTTTCATATCACTGACAGGTTTTTCTCTGGTTTTTTTCAGTGGTCATGGCTCCCCTTCCACCACATAAAGTCACCTTCATAACGTCACTGAGATACGAACTAGTCAAGCTGACTGAAATCTACTGATAGCTTGAAACACTGGGCTTTAATGGTATGAAATACCCCAAATATGTAAACAAACTCCTAATACAATGCTGTAAGTCCAATTTAATTATCTCAGTGCTGAAAATACTTCCATTTTGGTCAAAGAATTGAAAAAAATTGCTCAGCTGACTGTTAAATCTCGTTTTGGATCAACAACTTGAGAGAATTAGAACCACAAGTGAAGCATAAAGAACAAATATTCTTTCCTGCTTACTGCAGTTATCTGCAAGCATAGGCCTACATCTCTGCAAATTGACCCATCTCTATTTTAGAGTTGGCAAACATGATGTCTCAAAGTTAAATAGGGAAGAAAGAAAAAAGAAGTGAGAAAATGCATGTTTAAGATGTCTGTGTTTTAATGCCTTTGACCTGGAAAACCCAAAACTTAAAAAAAACCCCAAGAAGATTTAAAGTAAAAATCTGCCTTTTTTTTTTTTTACCTGAAAAAATACTCAGTGAAGTCTGAATTTATACTTTTCATCACTAAGTAATATAAAGTCAAAGAAAAATGTATATGAACCTGTTCTTTTTTGGTTTTCTTCCTTTTTCCGCCCCCCAAAATTGTATGCCAGAAACAAGGATATAAAATTTCTCTTTCTGTTTTCTGTAAAAAGCAGTGGAAGGGTCACACATGAGCCTTAGAACGATACCAAATTTCTGAAATAACAGATGCCTTTTATTGAAGTTTCCTTTATGTTAGTACCACAGAAGTGAAACAGTTAAATAATTTTGCCTTCTCTTGAAGCAATATATAACCTTTTCATTATTATACATAGCTTTCATGCATATTATTTGAAGATATAGTGATTTATCCATCTGGTTACGTATATAGTCTTGAGGTATAAACTTATATATTAGGAGTTTTAGTATATTTATGATGCATAGTCAAATGCATTTAAAAAGTAACTCATGCAATATATTAGACAGTCTTGCTCAACATATACACAGAAGCTTACGAACTGACCTAGATTTTCTGTTCTGAACTTCAAAAATAAGTGAAAACGTAAGACATTGCCAAAATCCCTAATTTCCTCTACACAGGACTTATGTTGTGAAACATTTTAGTTCTATATGAAGTAAAGACTTTTGGGGGGGGCACACTACACAAAATTAAAACGTCTATGCAATGATTACATGCAACAAAGGGAGTAGTACGGGAGAACAATGTAGTTTCTATGTATGAAAACCAAAGGACTGTTAATCAAGGTGCATATTTATTGCCTGAGTTGACCATTTCAGCAATTCAACTCTTTCTCTCAAATTCCCTGGAAAAGCCCTGTGTGTGTTTTGAAATCTTCTTGTGTAATGATGTCTGATTGCTAGATAACCTACATTTCCATAACACATATTTCCACTACTTTAGAAAATTTTATGGTTTTACAGCAGCTAATTAGTTTAAAAACTTTTTAATGTAGCTTGCATCATACTTTGTATGGTCCTAATCTGAAAAAATCTCTAGAGCACCATTTTACACATAAGTGACATTCCCCAAATCACTAAAGACTTCCAAGTGTATAAGCACTTACATTTGGACCATATGTAATGCTCAAGGATATCTAGCTTCACAGATGCTTGAAGGTTTAGGTCATGATGAAGCCTCAGGTGGGAGCTGTAACTGAGGTATTCCCTTGTTTGCCTTATGAATACAGAGAAAAAAGAAAGTAATATGGATTACCTAAGTGATAAACTAACTACATGCAATCCTGCCTGTAGAGATAATTTTGTCATGCTAATGATTTATTGATAACAGATCACTTAGATACTGCAGAAGCATTGAGACCTGTCATCCACAGGCTCTTGATGAGATGCATGGAATTTCCTAAAGCAGAAAGATTGAAGGTAAGAATTTGACATATTGCTTAGAAGCAGAGAGCCCATACCCTGCTTTTGCAGCACTGATGCTCTTTGAAACTAGCAAAACTTCATGATATAGTCTAGAACACAACATGGTCCACAAAAGAAAACAAAATTCAGCCTTAGATTGTACATGTTTTTTAACTGATGGCATATCTAACAAATTTTGGTAATGGATGTGAGAAAAGAGAAATGAGACATTCACATTTAAATTCAAGATATAAAAATACTGAGGCAGCAAAAATGCTGTTATTAAACTCCTGGCATGTCATACTTGCTGACGAAGAAAACTCGCTGAGAAATTCTTACTTACAGTGGATTAAGGGTTCTGTCACCTTTCACTGAAGCCCAGGTTAGGCATCTGTGACTTTCATCTCAACAGAAATATCTGTGAGGGCATGGAGTGGTACATTTTGCTATATGCTGAAGAGAAAGTGAAAGAGCAGAAGCAGCAGATCCTGAAAGATCTATATAATGGTCTGAAAATCCCATTTACAGTAGTCAGTGTGCAGCTCAAAAGCAGCCTCAGTGAAAGTGGTGGTTGGAGCAGTGCTTGGAAAAGTCTGTGACAAATCATAAATAATCATACTCTGAAGTAACTTGTGCAAACTACATTTGTTTCATTTTGGAAACGGTTAAAAGTAGTCAGTGATTAATGTAGTCAGGCTGGGACTTTGATGTGCCTTAATTTTGGGTGGAATGAGCAGTTGAAGAGACCTGGGCACATGGTTCAAGGTCTTTCCTTGAGTCTTTACAACAGGAACAGGAATAAAAAGTGGGTTGTTTTACATGATGTTTTAGCCTTCCTAGAGCCTCCAGCCCATGCCTTTATTCTGCTATCTCAAACATCAAAAGCTAGGACTCTTTCTGATTAATTACATAAAAAAATCACGGTTCAAAGATCACCCTGCCTAGTCTGAAAAAAACAGTGAGTAAAAGCAAATCCCTCATTTGGCACACAAAGGTCTTCGAAATCACACATATTCTTTATTCTATCTCTTTATAGGCTGTAGAACTATTTTATTTTAAGACTTGCTTGGGAATAATTGGATATACAGAGTCATTGTCTGTTCCAAGGTCCTATTTGTATAAATATATCTTGATCAAAAGGACCAACAAATGAAAAATATACCTATCTTGGTAAAATGATGATTCTTAGAGTCAGAAAATGGATGGTCACATATCAACCCAATACCTTTTTTAAACTACTTTAAAAATTTGTGAAATCAGGAATAAACAATTCAGTCTCTCAATTAATAAGCATGCGAAGTACTGCAACAAGAGGTCTGAAACCATTAAGATAAGTAAGCTATGCTGTCAAATCCCCACAAGAAATAATTTATTGGGAGTCTTTTATTCCTTCTGAATAAATCTGGCTGAGCAATCTTCCTTAAATATAAATAAACAAACAAATACACAAGGAGAACTTCCACCATACCAGCCTCCTGCTGGATTATGGCTCAACTCTATCAGCAGCTGTAGCTGGCCACAAACTGCATTTAATTGCACAGGAACATATTTGCCAGTATTTCCTATAAATAAATACATGCTTTTACTCAGTCTGCACTTTTTGGGAAATTTCTAGAGCTTTCATTTTCAAGGTTTTTTTTGTGTTCAGTGGGGTCAATTACTTTTGTCAATTTTCTCCTTTCCCCCCTCCCAGCCCAGGGCTCACAGTGACTTAGGCAAGTCTTTTACTGCTTTAAAAGAGCTAAATTGTGACAGAAATTTTAAGCTGCCAAACTAGTCTCAAGTAACTTTTCAAATTATGTTTGGATGAAAGGTCATACCTTAAAACACATGATAAACAAAAGATGCATAAATGTTCACAGATTTTAGGAAACCTGGACTTTGTGTCTCTACGACATACTATTTCTTATTTAACAAAACTTGGCATTCTCCCTAAGAATATAATTTTTTCATAGGCTGGAGAGGAGAACAGAAAGGCATGAAAGTTTAATACTTTTCTAATTTCTCATGAGATGCTTCCTATTATGGTTGTAGGGTCAGTTTAAATACCTAGGACAGCATGGCAGAAAGACAAAATGAAGATAAACAGTAGAGATTCAAAAATAGTAATTAAAAAAGCACATGAACTGTTACTGAGACAGAATAAGTCTTGTGAAAGAATGAGGCAAGATCTTGTGATGAAGGCTGGTAGTTCATCTAATAGAATCCCTTTGCATTAACTAATCAAAACTAATATCATGGATGTTGCATTGCTACTGGAATTGGCCCAGTTTGGATGGTTAGAAATCTAATTTCCATCAGTAAGATACTCATGACCTGCTTTGCTTCTCTTGATGTTTCTCTTTTCCTTGTGCTGTGTGAACAGTTTTTCTTCCACTGTACAGCTATGTTTTGGATGGCTCTCCACATAGCAAACACTTTAGTATCAACTCTTATCAGCCTTTTCCTTGCTAAGTGAAGCTAGTAAAACTCTTCTACGTTATCTTAGTCTCTTGCATGTTCATAATAGTCCTCCCATGCATTTTTACTTGCAATTGATCTTTCTTGAACAGTGGGTAACTAAATTCATAAGGGTATTATATAAAAGCTTCAGTGTATTGTTTAAGTAGACTAATTATGATGTGGTCATTAATACTTCTTTCAGCACTCTTAAGTTGGGGTTATCATAGGGAGTTTTCTTCACGGCTGCTTCATCTCAAGACCCATCCTGTGATCAACTAGCTCAGCCCCGGTGATGAATAAGTAGCTGCCTTAATGTATTTGTCTCTCAGCACATGACAGTGCATTCCTATTCTTGCCATTCTTACCACTGACTTTATTCTGGTTCTCATAGCAGAGCTTTAAGAGGGACAGTGAAAGCTAGTTGATTTAGGAAGAGAGGAAGAGAAGATAGGGACCAAGACACCTGAAACCTACTGTCTTTTTTTACTTTTTATTTTCTTTTTTCCATTTTCTCCTTTCTTCCTTTCATTTCTTCCTTTTCTTTCTCTTTCTTTCTTTCTTTTTCCTTGTATCCTACCAAGTCATATTTAATGCATTTTGCAAAATTACTACCCTAGTTTACCTTCTGAATATGGTCCAATGCTTTTACAGCTGGCATTATCCATTCTTCCTCTTTTCTTTAACTTTATACTGTTGTGAGGTCAAAAAATTCCTGCAAACATTTGAGTTAAGCTGGTGCAA